TTTGTGATAGCCTGGGACTAATAAAATACAGTCCTGGATTCTTGAGATATGTGTTTGGTGGGAATTCTGGCCCATTTTAAGTGAAAGCAGTTTTTGTAAGGCTAAATGTTTAAAATGGCTGACAGGTTGGTTTTAAATGAAACTAAGGGGTCTATTCACAAAGCTGCCGAAGGATCTGGCACACATAGGTTGGGTGCTGTGCATACTTGCACATTATGGCACACTTATCTGCCACTGTGCCACCCTGCAGCAATAACAGGTCTGGGGTCCACGAGTTACATGGTCCCCACCATGCAGAGAATACAGAAAGGATGTGCCTTGCACAGCCAATGCGATGTGCAGTGTACATAGGTAATAGAGAACTGCAAGGGACATGGGGCAAAGATTTTTGGACGAAAGAGATTTTGCATGTCTCCTTCACCAAAAAAAACTCTAGCTCCTTGAATTATTCTCAGTGGGATTTGAAATTGTTCACAGTGGGCCTTGAAGTATATGGACATGGTCAGTTACATTTAATTTGTCATGAGATTTCTTGTCCTATGGGCCCCATGACCTGCGTCTTAAGTTTCAGTAATATACATTTAAAGCCCACATGAACTTTTAATTTAAATTTGACAAATGCATTCCAGGTGCATTAAAACGTAAAGGTTTTACACAGTATTACAGTATGTTTTCTTTAGAAAGCAGTTACTGCCTGAGTGAAAAGCCTGTAGATCTGCAATGAGCAAAGCTCATGCTCCTTGCCAATTAGAGAGCTCTAGATTCTGCAGGGAGTATGTTTCACCTCTGCAGAGAGAACACAGCTTCCTTTTCTATAGCATGCAAGCAGGAAATAGGCTTTTTCACTTAGACAGTGGCAACTTTCTAAAGAAAGACCTGCAAAGTATTTAGCTGTTTTAAACTGAAGGTTCAACTGGGCTTTAAAGGATGGCAGGTCTGCCATTCTCCATGGGGGGGGGCGGAGGGTTGGTGGGCAGGGGAGCGCATTGAGGAACCTGGCCTTGGGGCCGCAGAGAAAGTAAATCCGGCACTGCCTACACCATAATATGATAAGAAAAAACAGATATTATCACCAGCTTAGTAGGTAAATAAAAACCTTTTATTTGCTGGGAATCACCAGTAAAACACATTTTATACTAACAGCGTTATTCACTGAAGGGTGAAGAGTTTGGAGAAGGCAGGAGAAGTGAACAATCTAGGACAACATAGCCGATCTAGAAGGTGAGCGGAGTTGGAGAATTTTTGCAGTTCAGCTATGTTGTCCTAGATTGTTCACTTCTCCTGCCTTCTCCAAACTCTTCACCCTTTTGTGAATAACCCTGTAAGTTTTGTATTTTATTATTTAGATAAAATATTTATTTTATAGATAACATTTTAAGACCGGGTGCACCAATGACACTGGGATCACCGATCATCATGAGTTTTCTAAAAAGTGAGCTGACTTTAGACACTCTAAATACAAATATGGCCCTGTCTGAACAGAGCTGACAGGCAGGGGTGATGAGTCCCTCTTTAGTTTCATTCAGTTCTGAGTGTACATTAGAGCTTGAGTCATCACGCTCTGTAAAAAAAAACACAATTTTTCAGCAGAGCAGATATGACTAGTCCTGGAAGCATATGAAAAGGAGTCTAGAGCTCCACCTGGTGGATGATATAGTAAGTATAAATAAAGGCCTATGCTGTGTAAGCTGTGAATGCCTGAGCAAAGTCAAGTTAGGCTTTGCTTTCTAATGTAATACCCAGTCTTTGACAACTGGTGGGATAATGATTAAGAAGCAGCAAGAGAGGTAGAGAAAGCACAGATCCAGAGAATGGATCAAGTAGTAGCAGGGAGATTCTCATTTAGCCCTCGTTCACACCTCTACGACACGACATCACAGAGGTGCTGCAGGGTTCACTTGTGGTGCACTGCGGTAGGCAGCCTATTCATCAAGAGGAACTCCAGGTTTTATTCTAATTAACCCTTGCAGTTGGGCTACACCACACTGCAAGGGTTAAGTAATAGTTTTGGCCTAGGATTGAAAATAAAGAAGATACACTCACCTACTCCATGGTCCTGTAGCAGGGACCGCTAACCTCTCTTCTCCCCTGTTCCGGCTGTGGTATGTCCCTCAGCATTCTCATGTCTAATAAACCAGCATTAGGCATGATGACGTCACAGGTCCTATGCCGCCAGGGAAGAAGAGGCGGTGGGGACCGGTCTAGCAGCCAAACGGGATTAAGGATCAGGTGAGTATATTATCTTTATTTTCATTCCTAGACCAAAATGTAGCCTCACTGCAAGGGTTAAATTGAATTAATCCTGGAGTTCGTCTTTAAATGGGCTGCTACTGCAGCTAAATTGCACTGAAAGAAGTGTTGACACCTTTTTTTTTAATATCGCATTGCACCACATCGCATGGCAAAAGGTTGCTGTGCAATGTGGTACAATACAAAGCACATGTGATAGCGGCACGTTAGGGTGCTGTTAAGAAATAATGGCAGCGCATCTAGCATCACACGTGTTCCCGCATCACATAATTGTGAATGGAGACTTCTGGTTAATGAGTAAATAAAAACCTAAATCTGCATGAACAAGTGTGTGTGTGTGTGTGTGTGTGTGTGTGTGTGTGTGTGTGTGTGTGTTTTACAGGCAACAGGTTGATATTCACTCTATAAGAGGATCTTATGAGGTTTTAATTAGATTTCTTTTTTGCATTTCAGGGTTATGAAGGTTCATTAATAAAACTCACATCAAAGCAGGTAAGAAGGATTATTCTCCCTCATTATATCTCTTAGACCTCCTTACTGTATATGAGTTACCTGAACTTTAGGTTCAGGAACAAAGCCAAATTTAGATAACTATGCCTGAATGCACACAATAATAGCTACCCTAGGGGCTATGGCACATTAGCAATCCCCTCACTGGTATGCTGGCTATGCAGGCCAAGCAGAATACTGAAATGATTTCCTACTTCCCCATAGTTTTAGGGAAGTAATACACTGCTGACATCACCTGGCCCCCAGCTCAGTGGCGTCACAAGGGGTGTTGCGGGGGGTGCAGCCCGCACCCGGGTGGCACCATTGTAGGGGTGACACTAAAATAACTGACAGTCATTTTGTTGTCACCCCTTCTAAAAAGTCGGGCACTTGGTCATGGACCGAGAGCCCGACAGTGTCAAGAGAGAGGAGGGGACCCGCCGGCATACCTCCTCCCGCCGGGTGAATGTCACTCCTCTCTCTGCCGGCGTCCATCACCAAGATGGACGCCGGCAGAGGCATCAATCAGATGGCCGCACATACGCGATGACGTCGCGCACACTCACGATAACGACATGGCGTGGTGTCACCCAGTCTGGAGACCCGGCCTCGGGATGCCACTGCCCCAGCTTGGTGACTGGACAATGAAGGAGCTGGAGGTGACTAATGAGGTTATCCCTCTGTTCACACTGCTGTCTCCTCCTGTCAGCTTGTTCCTTTTCAACATAATTGCATGGAGCTCAACCAATTGGCTCCTAGTGCTTCCAGTGCTGCTGTACAGGGGGTTAAAGCAGACCTTTAACCCCTTTCACTAAAAATCACATTAGCATTCAGCTCTGCATGCTGGTATCAAATCCTTTTACATGCATTAGTTAAACAAACATATTTTTATTTTACTTACAATTACTGTTTTTACACTTCCTGGTTCTCTTGGGCATTAGTGATGTAATGTACACAAGTGTTTCGCACACTGGGAAGATTACATCAGCAGAGCATTGCTGGGAAATCTCATCTGTAATCTCACTAGATCTCAGGGAAACACATTTTCCTCCCGAGATCATGTGCATGGATGTCACATGTCCTAGTCACATGTGCCAGAGTAGCAGGAAGTAAAGGGAGAAGGATTCAACTGCCCTTAGTAAAAATGCCCACTGTGGGAAGAAAGGGAAGGAAAAGAAAAATAAGGTACAGTGTGCAAAGAATAAAAAGCTGGCAATTATCTATAAGTATCTGTTTGTAGATTAATATTACTAAAAATCTCTAAATGTGTATTTGTTCCTCTTTAAATGAGACTAAAATAAAGTCAAAATTCAGGAATTTACATTAGAAGCATTTAAAAAAAATACATGTAATAATTTATTAATGAATTCAGAGTTCCATGATGTATACTTTACATACTGTATATGCCTAGTGTTCAGCTTTAAAGTGACTTTTGACCACTCTGTATATAGAATGTGTGACATACCTTATAAATAGAGGTGCACCGAAATGAAACTTTGAAACCAAAAGTCAGGCTGAAACAGAAATTATTATTTTTTCTAACCTTTTAAATTTTTTGAATATTATATTTTTTTCTAACCTTTTTACTTGTTTTTAAATATCATTTTTTTTAGTTATTTATTAATAAATATTTGTATTTTTTTTACTTTACTTTTGGGGGCTTCGGGGAAATATTAGGGGTGTAAACAGACACCTGATATTTCCTTTTTAAAATAAAAAAAGAGAATGAGGACAGAGTCCTCAATCTCTTTTTCTGCAGCCCCTGTTATAATGAATAGGAAGCCTCTATACTGAGTGTTTGTTCATTCATAACTTGTGGAGATAGTAAACATACTATATCCACAAACATGAATGAACAGGAAGTGATGTACAGTAGAGCGCTTCCCATTCATTCATAATTGGGGACACAGTAAACATACTCTGTCCTCAATTATTTACAAGTAGTCAGCGATCACTGTTCGCTGACTGCTTGTACCACTCTCCATCCTGACTCGCTGCCACAGGAGGCTGAGCCGGCTTGGCCTCTTGTGACAGCTGTCTCCGCCCCTACACCGCTCTCCATCCTGATTTGCAGTGCTCTCCTTCTGCACCGCCCCACTTGGCCTCCTGTGACACACCGGCCGCTCATAACACTCTCCTCCCTGCACCTCTCAGCCTCCTGTGACAGTTTCTTTCCTTCCTGCTGGACGCTGCGCTGTGTCAGAGGGGACACAGAGCAGTGCCCAGTGGGAAGGGGAGAAACCAGGCATGCACCGCAATTTCGGCATTTGGCCAAAGACTTTGGTGCATCCCTACTTATAAATGTAAGCGCTTAGCAGTTATGGAAGCAGCCTGTCAGCTAATTTGTCCCTCCAACCTCACCCCATTTTTACAGATTAAACCATTCTTTTTCATGCTACCTCTACTTTCTGCTACTGCTGGAAGGGTTGGAAGCTTTCTGCATTAGACAGCTGTAGCTGCTCTCATCCCCAGCCCCGCAGTTGCCAGCTGGCAGGCAAACCTTGCACAATCTGAAAAGGCAGTCTGTCCGAACAAAACCACTAGCAGCTAATCTGATAATAAAGTCTGGTATTGCAGATTCAGCAGTCTAACTTATTATCAGATAGGGGGAGACCTTTAGGTAACTTTACAAATCTGCAGGAATACATTTGTGACATATTACAATACACAGCAATGGTATGATTTTTAAAGAAAGCGGTAACTTTTATCATTAAAAATCATTGTCACCTTTAGACAAGTACACCGTAGGCTCAAATCATGAATGATCATTACACACGGATAAGGATCTTTATTTTCAGCCACATGACTATAAATTTTAAACCCTATTGGTCTCATGTGAAAATAACTGTCACTTTTGTTGAAAATAACTTTGTAACAATTCAGCAGGAGGCTGGCCTGTGTCAGATGAAAAGTTATAGGGGCAGTCCAGATAACCAACGCTCTGAAGGGGGTATACACACACACATATATGTGTGGGCATGGGGTGGTATTGGTGTGCGGCTTCCTGATGGACCGGGGTGTCCGACACGTGTAACAAAAAGGAGAAAAAAAGGAAGCACCACGACCGGGGAGAAGAATTGTTGTGGACCAATAGGTGAAGCCTGGTTAATTGTTGGAGTGGTCCGACTAGCTTGATGGTGATGTAGAGGCGAGCAGGTGTGGTACTTCCCGGCTTGGGTGGCCTGTGTCAGACAATTACGAACACATCCAAGAGATGGAGAGGCACCAGAAATTACATGGCTGCATTATCTCTGAGCTGGCATCCCTGTCCAGGAAGTAGATGCTGACCTTGGATTATGCCTGAACAAACCTGCCACCATTTTCATGAAAAGAGCACATGAAAACATTATCTGTGATCCCTGTGGGATGTTATAAATACCTGTACTTTTTACACTAACACCTTACATACATGCACTTATTTTACATAAATATATCTGATGTTAAGATTCTATTGAAGCCTTTTAAACAATGGAAATAGCTGTGGGAAGCAGGTCCAGTAGTTTGCAATGTAATTGGTAGTAGAAGTGGGAGGTGGGTGATCCTCCATGCTATTTTACAAGGTCAGAACCAAGTGAACTTTCAATTTTAACCACAATTCCCCTAAATAAATTCCTGTTGTTTAATGTTTTCTATGTCATAGACAGGTCATTCATGGTCGGTGAGTATTCATATTAACTCACTGAAAGGAAAATGAGACACTGATAATGTTCTTGGCCTGCACAAGCTGTTCATGTGATGTTCCTCTTCGCTGCACAATTATGAGACTTGATTAAATACATTCATAAGATGATCAAAAAAACATATGCAATACAAACATGTGTTCATTCAAATGATGAACCTTCATTGTGATGCTATCTGGATGAATCAGGAAGCACCACCGGGACACACTTTAAATAACCGATGAGATCTGTAAGGGTCAGACATGTCCAAATTGTAGTTGTGGCCAAGTTTCCGATCTGTGAGTCACATCAACATAGCATGAAGATATATATACAGAAGACCTAGTGAAATATAGATGGCAGTCAGATATTGGATATCTGCAACAATTTACCTGACTTAAGATCTTCCTTCCCCATAACGTGCAGGTTTAATTCCTATCAGTGGAATATTTATGGGAACTGCTGAGACACAAAGCGCTGCTCATATTTTTAAGGTGCAATAGTCTGACAGCAGAAAGTTTCAACCCAACCTGACCCCTGGACATTGTGCTTTAAATTTAAAATCCAGCTTTGTTGAGAAATCATTCCTACTCTCCCCAGATCAACTATATATACACATATTGCACGAAAATTAGCATTTTTTTTACAGCGCATCAGAAGGTTGTTATGCACTTTACCACATTTTGTCATTTGTATGCCAGTGTGAAGGAGACCTCACTCTGCTAAGGGTGTGTGATATTGCTTCTAATTGTAGGAGTGAGAACAAAAGCATATAAATCATTATTTACAATATTTATTGGAAATTGTTTCAAAATAAGAACAATGTCATTCTATATCTGAAAAAAATTACGGTAATCAAGGCAACTGGACTTCCTGTAGTTTTCTTGAAGACGCTTCCCTGTTCATCCAACCAGCTTTCTCATTTCAGAATGACTTGTACAAAAATTATCTGGGAATAAATATGGTGAATGTTGCCCCAATCAACATAACCTGTTTATCATTACCGGCATGGGGACAGAGACCTCATGGAGATAAGGTGTTGATTGCATTGATTGACCCCATGCTGTTTATGATAACAAAAATTATGTTGATTGGGGCAACATTCACTATATTTATTCCCAGAGAATTTTTGTACAAGTCATTCTGAATTGAGAAAGCTGGTTGGATGACCAGTGAAACGTCTTCAAGAAAAATACAGCAAGTCCAGATGCCTTGATTTGTTTTTTTACAGATGTACCATGACCTGGGTGAAAAAGAACCTTCACAGACAATGTAATTCTATATATTCTGTGTAACACTTTATGTTGTCCATTAAAGACAATTTTAATTTTTCTTTTTAATGGAACTTTTACTTTTCTTTTACAGCCTGTTGGATTTGTAAGTTTTGATAGTCGATCAGAAGCAGAAGCTGCCAAGAACGCATTAAATGTAAGAAACTCACTGCTATTCTTGTACCATGTATGACATAAATGTGTATGGGTGCCTGATCACTTAGATTTGAGCACCAAGTTCTTGGTACTTCTTTTCTCAATTTACAGATATTTCATTTGAAGTAGCATTGTAATATTTTCTGTATAAACCAATATACCAAACACTGTAAATGTTCTTTCGTAGTTAAAAGAATAAAATGGTAAATTAAATGATTACATGTGTAAGGAACCCAAGTAATAAATATTTTTGTCTGTATTTACATTCAATTTATTTTACTTACTATTTAAATACTTGTGTATTTACATTTGCTTTCAATTCACTAAGCTGCTTGCATTATCTAAATTGCACTTTTTATTTTATCATTTAAAAAGAAAAAAAAATTGCTGTTTAACCACTTCTTTTCCCTTATTACTCATTAAAATATCTAAATTCACAAAGCTAACACAGCAGGTAAATCTGTATTTTGTTAAAAGAAGCGACAGTTCATTTCAGCTAAGTGCAATGAGATTAAAAAATGAAAGTCACGTGGCTAAATAAAGATCCATATGTTTGAGTTGAAGCTTTGTGAATTAAGTCTGTTACATTTTGTCTCGATGAGTAGCCACTCACAGTTACCACTAACCAAAAGGTAGAGGTATTTTAACATTCGAAAACCCATGTGTTAATATTTTTAATTCATTTTTATTTACAAGCCACCACAAAAGTGGATTATGTATTGCATTTGTGCTGATGTAAGTAGATTCATGTGATAAAACTTTAAGTGAATTGAAAATATTTGATCTTTAGAAGTACCAAGTGCATGGTAATTAAAATATCACATGCATTATTGTATTGGCCTTATTATATTCACAGAATATAAAAACAAAGCAGAGCATAGAGGAACATGTAGTAACCATTGTAAAAATACCAGAGGACCAATCCACTTGTATTCTTTTTGCCACCTTTGGGGAAAATATAGTGTCTTGATTAATAGAACTTTGTGGTGATAATTTATCAAATACTTCTTAATAGTGGTTATTTTATTCATGCTCGTTATATCTAGCGTGATTGGAATAAGCACAATAATTAATTTATTCCATCTCCCCTGGCAGCTGGCACTCTTTGCTCTCCTGCACTTGGGGAAGGTAGGTGGGCCCTCAGTGTACTCATGCAAAATGCAGGACCACTGGTTCTGCATTGTACATGATGTCAGAAAGCTGTAACCATTAGAGGAGCAGCTTCATGGGACCAGTCATTCTAAAAGGAGAAAGTCTGCTAGACCAAGGAATAGGGAATGTATTTCACCTTAATCCTATCCCCCTTGTCTAAACAAACACATAACCCTTTCAGTGCAGGTAGAGCAAGGTGAGAATTTACACTAGCCCAGAGTTTAGCTTTAAGAACAGTCAGGGCAATGCCTACATCAATATCCTAAGGACAAAAGCAGAGAAGGTTCTGAAATAATGTGTGCGAAAATCTATGCACTGTGTGTAACCTCACAGTGTCACTTAATGGAAGTATCTGTAAAATTTGTCCTGGCAAGAGGTACAAGCCTAAAACCATTTATCAGTTTTGATTTCATACCTACTGTTACATCATTGGTTCAATCAAACAAAATGATTCCATTATACATGATACATAGACACCTTTATGCATGTTACAACATCATCACACCATAAGGAGTTGCTGAACTTTTGCAGGTGCTTTGTTAGGCTTTACAACGTGGAAGTGCTTAAAGTGGCCCAGTCACCACAGGTTTATCTGTAAAGTAAGCACAGCCTGTAAAAGAAAAGCATCTATACTAAAGCTGGCCATACATATGGCACTTTTTCTCGTTCAGCTTTGTGGGCTGAATGAGAAAATTAGCTTAGTTCCCTCATCCATGCTAAACAGTGTGGATAGGGGAATCTTCCTGGCTGGCTATTGTATTTTGGCCACTGTCAGAATACCTGCACAGTGAATAATTGGCTGCAGTCATTGTTTTGCCAACAATTTTTAGCTGAGCTCCATCAACAAAAGTTGATTGAAAAATTGACGACTGGAGTGGTGCAACAGGGCCACAGAGCTTAAATTTCAGCTGAGCTAGCAGGCCACAATTCGAGCAGTGTATGGCCAGTTTTACCTTGACAGTGGCCTGTGTTTTCAAATGCTGCCACTTTGCTGCTCCCTGCCAGCTGTGGGTTTCTTACACTTCTGGGTGTTCCCAATATGGTCTCCCCCATTGGACGCTGTGGCTCTTCCTGTGGTGACATACTAGTCGGTAAGAGAAAATACAGTGCGCAGCACTAGGGCAGGTAATCACATCTGGAAGTGTAGCAGCTGGGGAGTTTGACACAGGACATCGGAAAGGTAAGCATAGATGCTCCTCTTTCACCCACTCTCTTTAGTTTACAAGTGACCCTGGGGTGGGTAAATGGCGTGCAGAACACAATCCTGGTTATGTCTGCATTCTCTGTCTCTACTGTACACATGCCAGGGCATCACAAACGATGAAGATAGCCTTCCTAAAACAAAAGGCATCATATAATTTTGCAAAAAATCTTTAGAACCTTATGGATTATACCCATCCATAGGCTAATGTAGTTAAAGTAATAAAACATAAAGGATTGTATAGTTTGAGGAATTTAAAAGCTTACACACAGGCATACTGTTTCTGCAGAATAAAAAGAGACCCCTTCACATGGGTTAATCTGTCTAAAAACTATTATTAGACCACTCATCCTAAGAAAGTATTCTTCAGATGATATATGCCTGGAATGATCTAATCATTTATATGAGTCAGTGGCTGAAACACAAAATGTAGTGCAGCCAAAACAAACCCAGTCTTTAACCAAATCTATTTTTCTGAAATGTGCCCTTACCACCGATAAGGAGGAAGAGATAAAACAGAGATGAGTGTGGTGTCTGAATAGACTATACACTGAGTGGCCAGATTATTATGACCACCTGACGTTTGTAGGCAAATTAGCTATAATTAGCTATAATTTTGCGCTGAAGTTGCTAGAGGGCCAGACCATTATAAATAGGGAAGCAGGTTGTTTTCCACGACAGTAGAAGTGATTTTTTTCTGAAGATATGGGCAAACAAGGCGATTTAACAGGCTCTGAACGTGGGATGATTGTTGGCGCTCAAGCCATGGAGCGAGTATCAGCAAAACAGCATAATTTGTTAAATGTTCAAGAGCAGCTGTTGTTAAAGTGTTTAAAGACTGGACTGTCAGCCGAAAATCTGGGTCTGAACGTGGGAATTGTGGCCGTCAGCGACTAGTCAATGTTAGGGCAGAACGGAGAGTGTCAAGACTGGTACAAGACAACAGAAGGGCAACAGTACAGTGTCAGATTCCTCGCATCACCTTTCAACATCTCGTGGAGTCACGAGTCGGCCCAACGAAGTCATCTCGTGGAGTCATCTCGTGGCCCAGCGAAGTACTGATGGGGTGGTCCTAATAATCTGGCCACTCAGTGTAATTTTCAATATAAAAGAGTGTTTTTAGATGTATTTGAAGAATAGAAATGCCGGAATGGGTAGTTGAACTATGTGTATTAATATGAAAATGAACAGTTTAATTACAGTTATTAGAAAATATTCCCACTACAAAGACTGTACAAGAGCTCAGACAGTCAGATTGCTCAGTGGGCTAAACTGGTACCTAATGGTTACCCATAATGTATTCAGTTAGATTAGTAAAAGTAACAGTGTTGATCAATACACCAATCAGAAGTTTGCTTTAATTTTATAAGCTGTGCAATCTGGAACTGAATCTGTTGCTATGGCAATTCCTTTATTTTCCTATCTTACAGGTTTTTTTTATGCACAAGGTCCATTTACTGAATCATTCCTGGACACTAGTGTAGATAAACAGGGTACACTTGGTGAGGAGTTTGTGTCATCAGCCAATTAAGTGATCTGTGTCTTGCAGTAATTGAGGCTGCATTGCTGTTTTATACTTTTTTTCCACTTCACTCTATCCTGACATCTCACATGTTGCCAAGTGTCACCCTATACTAATATGTAAACCAATACATATGTTGAAGAGGAGGCATGCCAAAGCACTGCTTGTTTTGATTCCCAAAAATGTCTAGTTAAGTGAAAAACCTTTCGCAACATGTCGTGAGTACTTAAGCAATTGGATTTTTCCTCATGTAATATAAATAGCTCGCTCACTATATGGACAAAATTATGTGGACCACTTCTAAATTATTGAGTTCAGGTGTTTCCATTGAAAGGTATTGTTAATGCTACAGCATACAAATACATTTTAGACAATGTTGACAATTGTGCTCTTCCAACTTTGTGGCAACAGTTTGGGTTGGCCCCTATTCTGTTGCAGCATGAATGTGCCCTTAGGGATCAAGCCAGCTCCATACAGACCTGATTTGACAGGTTTGCTGTGGTGGACCTTACATGGCCTGCACAGAGCCACAACCTCAACAGATCTCAACATAGTGATTGAGCTGTCTCCTACAGATCCTGGTCAATGTTTCCATTCTGGGCTGGGGGCGGTCTCCCAGTCTTGTGATGACCGGGAAAGCTATTACAGTAATCACATGTTTGGGAAACCCACCTCTGGCTCCCAACATGAACAGCCGGACATCACATCTGCTCACAGTAAGTAAGGATGTTATCACATCTGCCTAAGTGATATGTCCACAGTACATGAGTACAAATCAGGAAGAGGCTGAATTACTAAATTAGTTGAGAATGTTAGCACTATAAAGATTAAAGAATCACTTCAATTAGTCAAACTTATGAAAATGAATCTCTTGTCTATTTTTTTCATTTTCATACCATTTAATAACTGAGTGGATCTCTTTTTTTATGTGAACATTCTCAGCTCCTTTAGTAAATCAACTTCAATTATCATGTCTAGGGGTTAGAAGGGTGTTAAAGGGACATTATAATCATTTTGGGTCTAAAAGTAAATAGATCATTTTTTATTTATATCTCTCTTTGACTATAATAAAGTCGGAAAACTTGTGGAAAATTAAAGTGTATTAACAGTCAGAAGTTAGATGTTA